TTAGCGTTTGAGAGGATTCTAGAGTGTTTATTAATTAAGTAGCAATCTCTCTCTCTCTCTCTCTCTTATTTCAATTGTAAGTTTGTCATTTTTAGCCATGATTTTTTATGACTCTTTCTCGTTAAAATATAAAGTCAAGGATCTTTGAAAACGCGAATAGTGACAATCTAACCGACAGACAATGCGGAACGAACACAGGCGGGGTTCGGCGACTAAAGCGCGGAGTGCAAAATCATCGAGGTATCGCGGCTACGCGATATTCGCATACAATACAGCAGGCACTGCATCGGGAGGACAATGGTCCTTTTTTCGTTCAAATGGGAACAAGGGTGAAGGGAGAGCAACGTGGCGTGCGGCGTTAAAGGGAGGACGGACGGCGCGCGTGTACGAGGTACGTGGTAACGTAAATCATACCTCGAAATAGATTCGAACGGTCGATCGTGGATTGCGATGTTGGCGAGCCATAAACGCTCGAGCACAAATCCGATTCGCTCTGAAATCTTATCTAAAGCTGAGCGTTATGCTAAGCCTGGTTCACGATTACGTGCGGATTAGTACTTTCAGCGTTGTTAACGGTAACAGCAACGTTTACGAACAATCTTCACAAATACAACAATAATCTGCAGCTTTTCATATAATAAGTAATCTAAAATCTTTCATATACATATACACATACTTTACAACTTTAAAGAGGAAATTTGATATTAGTTTTTCCGGAAATCGGAGATTTTAAGTATATTTATTAATTTAATATATATTATCTTCCGCGTGATTGTATTCCGAAAACTTTTTATTATATATTTCCGCAGATATAAATCAAATAAATCAAACGCAGTGATTTTATTTTATTTTATTTTATTGTTATTGCTCGTACAAGGTGACCAACAACGATGGCGATTTTCCAGATGATACGACCTTCGTTTAAACAAAACGCTTAATCGACGAGTGGGAACGGCGCGATGAAATCGTGATCAGTACGCGCAATGCACCAGCAATCATTGCGCTCGCGATTCGTTTGCTAAATGAATTTGGAAAGAGGACAGACGCGAGTATTGTCCGACGTTGCTCACGTTAAATACGTCGGTTTAATTACCTATTGAACGCTGTAAACGAAGTTTGGTCGTACATATGTTGACAATGGATTCGTTTACTCGAGCGCGTACATAAATCACAGCGATGTCCCGGATTATATCCATTACGATTATGAAATTTTATCACTTTTACATTATTACGGACCTTATTAACGGGGCGGAAGCTATAGTTCAATGATATTACCATCATATGTTAGTAGATAAAATGAAAATTTCGATTTTCATTAAGTGTCACTGGTTTCAATTAAAATAGGATTTTCAATTTCCTGATGGAATATCAATTAGGTACCAATTTTCCAACGACAACGTCCTACTCCCGTTTCACTAAGGGAAAATCCTGATTTCGATTCCGCTTTAATTACATCTGCCCAACACTGATTGCCTATTATGTGCTTCTAGACGAGTCTAACAAGCTTCGAAGCTCTCTTCGCGAAGAAAGCTTTTTAGCTGCAGTATTCTCAATCTCCAATCACTGTATTTAGCATCACTATATATGGTATGTTTTACAATATCTTGCACTTTAATAAGTTACAGTACAGAAACTATAATTTCAATTATAATTTAAGATTCAACGATTTTTTATTCATTTTTGATCCATTGGTTTTTTAAATTAAGATTTGTTGACAAAATTATGAGAATATTCTTTGCAATTTAAGCTTTTTCCAAAATAATATTATTAATATTTACTAAAATCATATAATTGGAACTTGTTAAATTAACTTGTGAAAATTAATTCTTTTTGTGTGTTTAGAGAAAGATAATTATTTTAACTTTAAATGCCAAAAAATTTTTAATAGAAATCTACGAATATAAAATAATACGTTCTTAACTTGATACGGAGGTTTAACTTTTTAATCGTTAATGTTAAAGCAAGTCAGATATCTTATAAGAGATTTCCATAATTCGATGAATGAATAAAATATTGGCCGCGAGGGATCTTCCGGGGATTTTTCACAGCAAAGATATTCATCCTAAAATCTCTTGCGCGCGATATTCTCATTTAATTTGATCTTTTAACCATCTTCTTCGTCAGATCCGACGGATTAGTAACGACCCGAAATTCCTTATATCATGGCTGTTATATCTCGGATCTCGGTTTCCAATCTGCTTCCCAATCTCGCGGAACATCATTCGTTGGTACTCACTCGAATTCCAAGGCTTCTCGATTTCGTTGCCTTTGAGTTTATCGAGCGGATAGAATGTCTGTGTATGCGCTGTATCTATTTCGCGATCGCTCGAGCTGCAAAAATTTTATGTGGAAACCACCTACGAGACATGATATTCTAGTCTCTATAATAGCCCGTCTTGGAGATGAACTTTGCAGCTCATAGGTGAGAGGCGAACAAGTATAAGAATCGATCGTGTCTCAATGCGAACAAGTAATTTTCTCGTCCTATGTAGTCTTGATAATTATATTTAACGTATACATAGTTTTTATTTGCTGCATAATATTATAAAATTTAAATTAATGCTGTAATACAATAATCAATAAAATTAAGAAAAATGACAACTGTTAAAATAAAATATTTAAAGAAATTCAAGTTTTATTCATAACTTGTAATTTACTTCCTTTATATTATTTCTCAGCGATTGCTTTTCTAATTATATGTTATGAAACTGTTATTATTTTTTAACAAATAATTACTTTTTAAAAATTTTTTATTTGCTTTTAAAATATTTAAAAAATATAACTTTTAGTTTTATACAATATAACTTTTACATTTTATACAAATAGCTGTTATAATTAATTCTTTTATAAATAAATACTAGATGAATAATCATATATAAGTACATTCTAAAAATTGAATAAAAAATTAGAATATAATTTTAGAGACTTATCTTTCATTTTGGTCGTAGATATAAATCGCAAAGGAGGCAAAGAGAAAAACAAAAGGGAGTGAGTAAGAGAAGAAGAGAATGTTGCAGTCCTTATCGGTGAAGGGCAACACGTAGGTCTAATTAACTTCGCGTCGGTTCCAAGGATTTAATCCTGTGGAAAACTGTGCGCACCGGAAAGAGAAAACGTTAAGACTCTGCATCTTTCGCAATTCCGTGAAATCGTTCCCAGACAAATTGAAGATTTTCAAAGAACAGGCGAAGTGAAGATGTAGATTTGATTTTTCCGCCATCATCGTTACTCTGTCGCAATAAACAGTAAATTTTTCTAGGCGGGAAATAAGATTAGATATCATGAAACACAATCGAGATTTTCAACAAAGATGCGCTCTCTATCTATTTATAGTTTCTACGCAAAGTACAGGAAAACAAGATTAACTATAAGATTAAAATTAAACTAACTACCAAGACATTGTGTGTGTGAAATCTTATTATATAATTAAACAAGGAAACTGGAGTACAATTAATTGTGAAAAAACAAATCTCTTTATTAGAAACAGACTAAGTACGTTTTACTAATTATATTGTTTATTCTACTTAATCGAAAAATGGATAAAAAGAACCTAGCTATAAAGTTAGTGTAGTAATGTCTCATGTAACTTTGATAAATGCAATACCTTTAAAAAAGAGAGAAATGTATTGCAAAATTTATATTCATGATGGCTGCAAAATTTTTGTATATTAACGGTTCCATTAAATTTAGGTTGAGTATTACAACAATAAAAGAAAGGCATAATTATTTAAATAAAATTCGTTACTTTTTGATTCGTTACGATAAGGCCATATTGATCATTTTTTCATCACAATTAATTATAATCATGTAATTATAATTATGTAATTATTTACTTTAACTTAATTAAATATTATTAATATAATGCACTTGTCTTCACAAGAAAATAATCACTATAAGAATAAAAATGTAATGTAACAATAATTATACATTGCAATAATTATAATTGTTATATTACCTTGATTCCCTTTCTTGCATAATTAATTTAAACATTATCAAATAGATTTCTAAATAAAGTTAGAACCTTATAATATATTTTTAAATATCTTTTTCTACAAAATAAAATGCAGAGGAAAATAAAAATATAATAATTTATCTTCTTCTGCTATTGCAAGTATCTACTTTATTTTGTAGAATGGAATATCAAAAATATTTTATAAAATAGATTACTTTTATACATTGAATTATAGTTGGTATTTAATTAGTTTGAAATAGCAAATTGTCTCACGAATAATTAGCCTTTCAACATGCGTGTTATTTTACCTATGGCGTCAACAACTGCGAAATATGACTAAATCATAAAACGACACTTGCTGTTCGTTGACAAGTTGTTGAATCGAAGTTAAAAAAGTAATTACGCCATACATACGTTGGATTTCACGAATTTAATATTCACAGATTTGTCCAACGTCGGTTTAAACGTAAACGTGTTATTTTCGGGTGGTATGCGTTTATCAAGCCTCATAATTGCGTTCTCATCGCTCTTCTCTACAATTAACCATTTAATTTATCGCGACAACGAGTGAAACGTTTGAGCATGGCTATTCCGATGATGGTTACGTAAAACGGATGGACATGTTAAAGCCCGAGCAAAGGTAATTTATCGAGCACTTAGTCCCTACAGTGACGTCATTTCTCGGAGCGTGAAAGATAATCTATCATTGTGTAGCCAGACAATCGTGGATCAGGATTTGCTTTCACGATTAAAACAGTTCATTAAGGTTGAAGTAAGACGAATTACTAGTCTATAGCACATGATCAATAGATTCGTCTAAAAAGATACGATGTGACGATTAGTTGGACTACGAAATATTTTTTCTGCATGAATTTCCATAGATTTTTTGTGAGAGTATTATAAAATATGTAAAGAGTTTCTATCATTTCAAGAAATGTAAGCTTTAATATTAAAACATTTTTTTTCAATATTTTAAGAATAGCGTTTACGATATTGCAACGTTTCGAAAAATAGACTTTAAAAATTTCGGTGTGGATACTTACTTATATTTTTGTCCCTGTATTGTGGCCGTGCATCTCCAATAAAACAGACGAAGAGCACCCATACTACGAACCAGCACGTTCCCATTTTGACCTGAAATAAGAAGCGATTCTGAATAGATTTAATTAAGAATTTAATGGTGCGGCATGCAGCGCTTTAGTTTCTTTACGACTGCAATGTTACCGCAGCTTTATTCGCGATCTTTTATTCTTAAGTAAAGCTATCACGATGCTACGCAGTAATAACATAAAATAAATATTATAATGAAACGAATTTAATTATGTATGAAATTAACAGTTCTTGAGTCCTTTTTTACTTAATATAGAATTCTTTAGTTAGTTACATCAAGGTCTTGGAAACATCTACTTTAATTTTCAGTTAAGGTAGAATAAAATAGAACAAGATCAATATATATGTATATATATATATAGCAAGTTTGTGTTCACAATAAATTTTGGTCGCTTTTGCTTGCTCGGAAGGAGTGTCGTCGTTTCCTTATACGAAAACTTATCGTTTCCTCGTTGCATTTCTTCCGATTCATTATTGTTCTTGCGGCGAAGTTCTTCCGTCCAAAAGGATAACCATTTTAATTTATAAAAGTTCTATAACAATTTAAAGTAATTGAAATATACGAGATGTCTTTGACGCAACAATATCGCTCAATTGTTCTGCTACTTTTAACACAATAAGTCTTTGGTAATTGTATATCTTTGACAACTTTTCTATACGATTGTCATTGTGCAATTTCATACAATTTTAATTTTACCATTATCTGCAGCAAATATATTCGCTTGCGTTCTGTAGTTCGAGGAGAAGATCAATGGTTGCATTCGCACGTTTCTATAACTACGTCGGATCATCGATCCACCTCGTAATCGCTGAAGGGATAATGCTCCTCAACCGTCGAGACCGGAGACGATCCTTTGTGGCAATTGCGCGGATAATCGAAAACCGAGAGAAAGAGACACGGAGTATAGGATTCCCTGCGGTGGAGCACGGTTGAATATTTCCGGGTTTCCGGCAGGCGTGCACGGAGATGTTATAAAATATTTCTTTAAGGATTTCGACTGTGAAGATATATATTTTATTCGACAAGCGTTTCTGCGCAGCACGTATTCGGATCTCTACGTCAATTTCCGCGAATATTATTCGCGAACCGAGCGTGGAAAAGTTCCCTCCGCGTGAGATGACGACAACGACAACGACGACGATTGCCATGGAATTAACGAGATTTCGTTATCACAATAATACCAGCGTACGTCTGCGTGCGCATTTTATTGTTATTTTCGAAAGAATACGCGCCAAACGTTCTCTTCTCATTTCGACGTAATACTGGAACGTCAACTCGAAAATGTCAATCGTTTCCAGACGGCTAAAATCGCCTAGCAAATTGCTGAGATATAAAGATCCGAAGATATAAAAACTACCACTGACATTAACGATCACGTTGGATTTAATAAAAATTTTCTCTATATCTTGCCTCTCATTTATATTAAGATATTTGTCAGAACATATTTTCATGTATACGGAGAATTTTTTCTTAGAATTTACCCTGAAAATATGACACTCGTGGGACAACATTGTATTTCGAAGAATTTTAATATAAATCTCTCTCATTCATTAATAAAACTACAATAAAGTATAAAATAAGTTTGATCAATTTTACTGAAGTGCGTGGTAAAAATCTTTAAAATGTTGTATTGTACCGCAATCACCATATTTTCAGGGTAAATTTTAAAAGAAAATTCTCTCCGTGTATGAAAAAAGCACGTTCGATTAATAAAAAAATGTATTGCGTTAACTTTTTATTTAAATCTAATCTTATCTGTATTCTATATATTTAATTTGAATAAGGAATTAGCGTATAACTTTCCTTAAAAATATAATAAGATCAAATACCATACACACGTATTGTTATTGGCGTTTTCGGAAAACGTGTAGTCATTCTCGCGTTTCATCTACTCACATACATTTCGTGAAGGAGCGAGCCAGAGTGTGTCCGAAGGCTAGACATCTCCTTGCCCGAATGGTGGTGGGTATGTATCCTTTCCGAAGGCTTATCTATCGAAGGAGATGCCCTTTCCAGGGAAATCCCCGGAGGAACAACGTAAAAGTTCCTATATTCCCTCGAAAGGAAAACATCGTCTAGTACTCGAAGTGCAGGTCCTCTTCTCGACCCCAGGATCATCTCGACCAAGAGAGTACACGAATACACATGATCTCGCGTACGCACGTACATTCACACGCACCCAACGACAAAATGACACTCACGCGCGAAGTGGTAACTTCCACCTTCGAGGATCCTTCGAACCTTCATCGATCACTATATACCTGCCGGGATCAACTTCTTCACGTATCTCGTTTCATGGTTAGCCGGCACAAAAATATTCCCCATCCCTTTTCATTGCGACGGAAAAGGATGACTTTAGTGCCGTCGCCGGGACGCGAAATTTAGAACCCGTTCTACGGAGGTAAATAAAACGTATTCTCGGGTCGCCGGATCGTTGAGTTTCTGAATCCTTGGATTCGCTGATCCTAGGAGTACTTGTCCCGACATCAATAAAATACGTACGTGCGAATCATCGTAGAGATCAACTTCTTGAGAATGAAATAACGCTGTTCTGATCATCCAAATGTATTCGTATTTAAATTATTTAAGTTTAAATGTCTATTAAGCTGGCACTGTCATTTCAGCACAATCATACGCGAACTATATCGCATTTTCTTACTATTTTTTGGTAATTTTTTGCTCCATTCCCAATTTTTTGCTCTAACTGATTTGCAAAAGCCCATAGCTGTGCTAGCTAAAATTAGCACAGCCGCAAAGAAAATAAACAACAAATGAAAATTCAAGTACATATTCTTGAAAGGCTATGTTTTTGCTAATTTTTTGGTATTCCTGATTCTTTTACTCATTATTTAAGTCAAAAAATTCAACCAATAATGTGACTATGCTAGCTCGCGTACAAGAGCAAAGTATTATACATTAAAGCAATTAATTTCTGAAATATATAATTTTCTGTCTTAAAATGATTCTAGAATTAATTGTTCTAAAAATATCTCAAATTGGATATTTTCACTCACTGTTTAAGTCAAGAAATTCGACCAACAGGCTGTGACTGTGCTGACTGGCGTACAAGAATAAAATACATTAAAGCAATTAATTGTTGGCTAATTTGGGGGGATTTTAAAATATTTCTAGAATTATATATATATATATATATATATATATCTTATAAAGCATATCTCTCTCTCTCTCTCTCTCTCTCTCTCTCTCTCTCTCTCCAAATTGCCGTGCTACATGAAACCTCTTTTCATTGAGGCTGTTAGTGTACTTCCGGTTTCAGCGAAATATAGTATTAAAGAGTCCTCAAGGTCGCTGATTTCGAAATCGAATCCAAAATTTGAACATTCATAATGGCTGAACCAATATGGCGGAAAGAAATGCTAAAAATCTTTCGATTTCAGCGAAATGTAGTAATAAAATTTGAAAATACAATATAGTATTAAAAGATTAGGTCGGCCGTTAGGTCCGGGTCTTGGTGCTGGTCGATCACAACGGTTACATCCGGGCTTTGGTGCTGGCCGATCCTAACGGTTAAGTCCGGGCCTTGGTGCTGGCCAACGGTTAGATCAGCGGTTAGGTCCGGGGTAGGGCTTGGTCTGGAATAACGGTTGGATTGGTTTGCAAATTTTTATATAATTTATTCATGAAGATTCCAGGGGAGCAACTAGGTAGGCATGTCCCTTAAGCATTACAGCATAAAACTTGAAATTGCTTAATGGTTAATGATATCGCATATAAGTCGGAGATATATTTTATAAAATTAATATAATTTTGCGATTTTAAACGATTTAGGGATGAATATGTCTGCTCCATGAAAGAAATGTTTTAACGGATGCAGCGAAAAAATTGAAAGCTTGTTAATATGAAAGCTCATGAATAGCGCATAAATCCTGTGTATCAAATAATTTTCCAAATCGGTTTTTTTTAACACGTTGGGGGGAGGGATACTAATTGACATTCCACGCACCCCCCTCACAAAAAAAATTATTTTTTTATCTAAACAAAATGAGCGCAAAAATTTTTTTGCGTATCTTGAGGGCGCATATATAGTTCATTATTGTATAATTTATTCATTATGATTTGGTTAAGCGTGGGCCGACTGTGATGCAACTCTTAAAGGATTTTCCTCTTGGTACAAACAAACATATTCATCCCTCAATTGTTTAAAATAACAAAATTATGCTATTTAACTTTGCAAAATATATCTTCGATTTATGCGCTACTATTTCCAAGCAATTTCGATTTTTGCGTTGCCACTCTTATAGTTCTTCTCTCTTGAAGCAAACAGACCTAGGATAAGACCGCCCAAGAGTGCTCATCGCTCAAGAGTTTGCATTGAGCTTTTCCATGGAACTATTAGATTGTAAGAATTGTAATTTGTACAGAATATGCCTTTTTAGTTTGCCAATCTATGTATAAAAAATCGTTGTGATTGCTACAGCAATAAAAGGGTATTTCAAATTTTATGATTTTGACCATTTTTTTCCCATATTTTTCATGGATAAGTTGATCGATTTCTACATCAAATTATTGCTTTGTGAATCTGTACTATTTATATTGTGTGCATGGATGTCTCTGCTTCATATTTAATGATATATTTACGTGTTATCTATAATAATTTTTATATAGTTATATTAAAAATAAAAAGTTACACGATGACTCAAGAGTTCGCACTTGAGAACAGTTCAAGAGTTTACAACATGAGCAGCACTGGCAGACACCGATCGTGGGTAACAATATTTTGTAACAGTCTCGATTCAAGTTCTAATTTCGATGAAAATTGGATCCAGTGCTAGAACTATATATACAATAAAGTTAGTTACAACGATCATCTCATTTAAGAATAAAAAAGTATCTTGCTAATAAAAAAATATTAATAAGTAATAATAATAATTCTTCATATAAATAATTAAACAACATTTTCTGTCCAATTTTTTAATTAGAAGCTCTGTATATATATATATATAATTTTACGAATATCTGGTGTTAATTAAAAATAATAAGCTTAATTGCAAACAACAAGAGT